ATCTCCACTACGGTCTCACTTTGAATCATACCTTTTATGCTATGGTTCAATTGGTCTCTCAGCCACATTTTACAGGCAATTAAATGCCAGGTGAATTTATGCTTTGTGAAAAAAGTTGATCAAATAGCTGATCTTTATGTGTGGAACAAAAAATTAATAAGGAACTGAACCGAACATTAGAATACAGCCGCAGCGAGCTAGAAAGGCCAAGGGAGACCATATTCGTTCAATTTGGTCGAGTTTTAGACTGTTTATTTATAACAAATCGAAATATATGGTAACATATTTAAAAATTATGTATTATAGCTTTACTAGAAAACGGAATTGGTCTAGTGGTATGATTGACCCTTAGGGTGGGTCAGGCCCCACGTTCGATTCGTGGATTCCGCCATAATTTTTCCAATGATGTATGGTTATGGTACGGTATAATATATTTTTGTTTTTTGTTGTAATCCTACTACTCTGTAGCTGTATATTTGTATCGATTATGAAAACACCACTTGCTTTGTGCACGGTGCGATTCAACATACACATGAGGTTGTGTGTATTTCAACGATATCTGTACCAAGCTTTACAAAGCAAAATGCCGATATTGGCAACTTTTATTTCAAGTCTTAATTTCTGGGTTCGCACTGAAAATGGATACAGTTATAACAATGAAGTTCTATAGCACGTATCTTTGGATATTCTAAATGATAGTAGAGCAACTTGCGCATCTAGTAGCATTAATCACCTGCGTTTAATCACCTGCGTCAGTCAGCGTGCAGGGCCGAAGGGAACGAGACTATTGGTACAGTGCGATACAACGGTCTTGGGTCAAGTGGACGAGATGTTCCGGTGACCGCACTCACAGGGCATCCAACCGACACACACACACAAAATCAATCCATCGTATTTCCCGCGCCATGCGATACCCGAATGAATTTATTCGCTTCCTGCAGGAGCGTGCACTGGAGCAGAATAGAGCTCTATTGTACTAAAAGAATATTTGATAGTCTGTGAATGCTAACAATGAATAAATATACACGAAAAGTCTCACGCCCAGCTATTGATTCAAGAGAAAGAAGGTATTTTTTTCATAGTAAGCACTCTCAATGTTCGCATGCTGGGAGTTTATTTGAGAAGCATATGGCATTGAAACTGAAATCACCTGTCTCAATATAAGTACTATTTGAAGAATAAATCATATTGATATACTGATCATAGCTTAGCATCGAATTTATTGTTAGCATTTTTTAATCTTCTACGCTTGGCTGTCGGCAAAAGCGGACGGCCACACTACGTCAAACACAGTAGCGACCAAATACTCTGCCGGAGTGTCTACGAGAGTGGGTAGGAGTGGTATGCAAGCCAATCCGGCGACAGTGGGTCCATATTTGCGGTACGGTTTGAGAGACTTCACCGTAGCGAACATCTTTTCAGCGAAGTGTACTGGAAAGTCAACAAGTGTGGATGAGGCACAGAATAGATTGAATGACATTATCATATCATGCCCAATTGGGGTTAAAACGTAAATACCTCGCAAAGACTCGACAAGAGCAAACAACTCGAAAACTGGTACAAATAATATTAAAAACAAAAAAATAAGCAGCTAACAAGATCCCCATGGTGCAAGTCACACTCGCAAATAAGGACGGTATGAACGCCAAATTTGAATGCATGGAAATCACAGCAATCAATTCCCGACGAATCGCTCAAATTCAAACTGTGCGAATGGCTGTATGGCCACATACGGTATTTGCGTTCGCGTCATGCTTACTGCTTTCAGACATCACCGCCAGTGTTTGCTTTTGCTGCGTATAACATCCGATTCGGGCAATACTCGCAGACTACCAAGATACAACAGACACGCAAGAGGTGCACAAATCCGCGTTAGGCACCATATGCTGGGCACCAAGTGACATGCTATAGAATACACTCACGATACAGAAGCATATATATACTCACTTTGTGTGTGAACGATCACCCCGGGTAGTGCAAAAGAGGCTAGCCCTTGAAAACACATTGTCTGAGCCATGGCTCGTGCCGCATCTCTAGCCTCACCACCCGCCTGCCGGACCGCATAGCCCGAGTACAGCACATCGATGCTCACGTAGGCGTAGGTCACCCCATAGAGTGCCTGTTCAGCGAGAAGTAATTGACCTGAATATGATTGTGCTTGCATGTTGTCAGCGATCGATAAAACAGAACGCATTTCAGCTATTCAGTACAAGGCAAAAAAAAGGGACGCTAAACCTGTGACTTTCCAGGTAAATTACATTTTTTGGAGCCTTTGTTTCCTTTTATGCCCTCAATATGCACTCGTGTCACACTAAATCGCTCCCACACTCAGTTCAGGGTTATAATGGATAAGTTTTTACTTAGAATAATAGTAGTACATTTCAGACTCCTATATTCGTACTCACTACAAACAAACAGCAACAAATAGCTTTACCAATACGTATACAGGTCACGCTTCATGCGCAACGGCAAAAAAAGAATACAAACTTGCTCAAAAGATGCTGATTGAGACTCCGTGTACCTTAACGATAAAGGGGGACACCACCGGCTTGATTGCTGTGCCCACATCTCCGCTCATGGCCAAACTCTTCGCACCTTTCGTCAGCTTGGCGGTGGATGTCAGTGAATTGACGGCCTAAAGCATGGGAAGAGTCAAGGCAATGTAGGGCGTATGCATTTAATCCGTACCTAAGAAGGAATTCTATTGAAATTTGTATCGATAACACATCCGGCCATACACGTATTTCGCAATATACACGAGTGGTCTGGCAGGGTGTTTGTACCACGCGAGCCATTTATACCTTCATGGTCTTCCCACCAGATCTGGCGATTGGTGCGACATTTTTTGCGGTTTTAGCAAGCTTTGCACCTGATCTGGCATTCTGCGCAGCCCTATGGAGGTAGAGAATATGAGAATATACGGATCCAACTCGAATGGCCCATACGGGCATGCAAATAGTATCACACACATCCTATTACGCAAATAGAAAGGGACCGACATCCCCAGAGGCGTAAACCACTGTATGCCACCATTCATTTGGTATACATACACAGAAGCACAGTCTGACACCACATCAGGGGATCTAGCAGGTAGATTTTGTGTCCTTCACATATATACAATAACCAGTTATGGTGTAAAACCCAAACCTTCTAATTCAGGTAAGCTTCACACATACACAACAACCAGTTATGGTGTAAAATCTAAACTTTTTAATTCAGGCAAAAAGGCTTACCTTGCGGCAGTTTGAACCAGCTTCCCCGTTCTGGCTGTTTTGGCTGCAACTGCACCAATCTTGGCGGTCTGCGCGACCTTTGCACCTGTCGCAGCCGTGTTCACCACCTTAGTTCCAATATTAGCATTTTGAGTTATTTTCGTCCCGTATTTGACCGATTTCGCAACACCTGCGCTCACCTTTGCAGACTGTGCTGCCGGTTTGGCAAATGGTCGCAGAGTCCTGTGTGTTGCAGCATCAGTGGTGGAGACTAGTGGTGAGCATCAATGAAATTCTGTATCGTTCAAACAGTGCCAAATAAGAGACATAGAAGAACGGGAATACGGTATCATCGATATTTAGTTTTGATTGATTTGTGTATATCCCATATATTTTGCCGATATTGTTACAGCTTGGACTTGGGTCGGACATCTACAACACAAACAACGCCGAGACAATACACTACTTAAAAATTGCTCATGATTGATATACGACAATCGCCCACACACGCATGCTGAGAGGAATTTATAAAATACTGCACAAAAGCCGTATTGTCTGATCACAAGGTCTTCTCTTCTCTTCATTCCAGGGAGTATAAAAAACAACTACTCTCAGACAATCGAAGTATCCCGATGCTAGAATACTATTGTTCTCAAACCCACATTTCATATTGGCTATCGCTAGAACTCCAGTTTTCTCGACCCCACATATCATATGGGTCATCGCTAGAACCCTATTTTTTTCTTGAATATATCTACTAGTTTGCTCGAGAAAGTTAGATACACCTGAGCTTATCATCACACAACTATATCCACTCTGACTATTGCTAATAATCGAATCAATTTAACTACGATTATACAACTGTATTCACTCTTGACTATTGCTAATAATCGAATCAATTTAACTACGATTATACAACTATATTCACTCTGACTATTGCTAACAATCGAACTAATTTAATTACAAATACACAACTATGTCCACTCTGACTACTACTAACAATCGAATTAATTTAACTACGATTACACAACTATATCCACTCTGACTATTACTGACAATCGAATTAATTTAATTACAATTACACAACTACATACACTCGGACTGTTACTAACAATCGAATTAACTCTATTATTACTATCACAGCTATATCCACTCAGACTATCACTGACAATCGAATTAACTCAATAATCTCGTTAATAGTTGAATCAATTTCAATATCGGTGTATTTGCCCACTATCAATTGACAGGGATATATGGGTGTGCAACTGATTACAATGTGTTTATATGAACGTACTCTCATGGCATTATAAGTGCGTCGGCCTGGCTTTGAGATCTATTGTTATAATACATGCAGAGTTATTCATTGTATGGGTACCTCTTCCACAGTTATCATGATGGAAACAGTGTAACATATGCTACACTAACGCACACACATTACTACTGTTGCTCACGAATAACATATACGTAACCTTACTAAACACATGCTAGCATAGCAATGTTACATAGTCTCCAAACAAAACTACCGGTCAGTGAAAAACATACATGCGAACAGTGTAACATATGCTACACTAACGCACACCCATTACTACTGTTGCTCACGAATAACATATACATAACCTTACTAAACACATGCTAGCATAGCAATGTTACATAGTCTCCAAACAAAACTACCGGTCAGTGAAAAACATACTTGTAAACAGTCTATCATATGCTACACTAATGCACACCCATTACTACTGTTGCTCACGAATAACATATACGTAACCTTACTAAACACATGCTAGCATAGCAATGGTACATAGACGCCAAACAAAACTACCGGTCAGTGAACAACATACTACTACCTGCGCAGAGCAATTACTAAATTTCGGCACTTATAATTTTAGACAATAAAAGATCCTGCACGCACTATATGCGCAACTAAGTCACGAGCAGTACGAAATAGACAGAAAGATATGTGCCGCACACTGAGCGCAACATTTTATGTATTTATATCTCGCAGATACTTGGTATAATCCATAACGCGCGCAAAAGAAATAAGGGCTGGTAGTCCTATCGGTTCAACCGTTGACAATCGGCAGAACCTAAATTCCTACAATTTCTATTCCTGTCTAAACCACAACACATCGATATCGGATCACAACCACCACCCAAAACACAAATGCAAATCGATGAACAAGGAGTTATAAGCCACGAGTGAGGTGTGGGATTTAAATTGCGTTCACAAGTCCCAGCATGAATGACATAAACCACTCAGCGTGTCACGATACACACACACTCATACCGTTCACATCCATCTCAAGCATCGTGTACTACACTTGCACACCAGATTAAAGCAAGTGTCCTGCACTCACAATGCACAAAAGGATCAGAATCACAGCTGTACTAACAAGTACAGCGTATATGTAAACATCACCAGACGGGAGAATATGACACTAACTACGGAAGTATAGAATTAACTTGCAACGTGTGTAGCCGAGTCTATCTCACTACACGATAACAACCGCCTGGCACTTGCCCATAACAGTGACGCTGAATACATATATACGCCGTTGCAATGGGACAGCCATCCCGTCATACTTCTTTCAACTGCTTCTGAGAATTTATTTTTTAATACTTGTCTGTTAACTATGGTGCATGGTCTACTTTTGTATATATTAGAAATAGCCTTTGTCGCGCTAGGCGTCTATATGTATGAACTAGGTAATTTCGCCATAGAGCACAATGTAAGTTGACAGGTGACACTTCAGTAGCTGTCCGAGATATAATAGAATGTGTCTCGAATAACATGGTAGACAATCGAACCAAACATATCACATGTACATCTCAATATGCTGGCCTCAGCACAGACTATAAAGTAGAAACTGATGCATGTGCGCATGAGAACTAGCTCCTTCATATCAACAACAAAAACATTATAGCAAAGCCGGGAAAAAGTCTTGACTACAGTATAATATTCCCAAACATTCATAATTTATATACAGTATCTCCACATCGATGAATTGGCAATTCACGGAACATCGAATAACGTCCTACCAAAGATTGTGCATACCTACCAACTCTACCCAGAGTCCCACCAAAGACTGTGCATGCCTACCAACTCTACCTACCAAAGACTGTGCATACCTACCAACTCTACCTACCAAAGACTGTGCATACCTACCAACTCTACCCAGAAATCCAAGGTAGCGGGTACTGCCTTCCTGCAAGGGATTCTCGATGTCATCCTTTGTATCTGTAGCTACTGACCGTACACGGCCACTTTCGTCAGCCATCGTCAAATGGAAACAGCCAGTGGAGATGTGCTCATCTGCACACACTATTGTTGTCCAAGTAATATGTGGTCTAACTGTGATTCATTGTCAATAGCAACCAATCTTGAATGGCCACTTGGCAAGTTAAACAGATTCGTTACCGGGTACTCAATTCCTTTGTGTCATGGCCTCTATGCACGCTCTCCGCTTATCTGCATCGTATGTAATATCTCCATCTTCAACAGATACAATATATCCAATAAATATCTGTGGTGATGGATGTTCACTTCAAAATGTCTTTGTAGCAGTGCATAAAAAGAGACAAATCTAGTGTACATAGGAGGCTATGCCATATAGCCTTCTTTGCTGAAAATATTCGAAACTTTCGAATATCAAAGTATAAGAAATCGGCGGGCTTCGATGACTCATCTGTAGGGTTTAGGGGGTTTTCACATCCCCATTTTTAAATATTTTAACTATATACTTTCAAGAAAAAAAATACTGTATATACATGGTAGTAAATAGCTGGTCCAGGGCAGATGACACACGACAGGTATTTCAGGACAACTAATCGTTTATGATGTTACTTCGTGCAGACGTATTTGTTTAAAGGGGATGAACTTTGAAGTACCTGAACTGAGGAGAACCACGCCCCAACAGTGAGCCCTTATATGTTCGCTGTAGTCAACATGCTTATACTTGCTGTAGTCAACATAGTTATACTTTCGCTGTAGTCAACATGCTTATACTTGCTGTAGTCAACATAGTTATACTTTCGCTGTAGTCAACATAGTTATACTTTAGTTGTAGTCAACATAGGTGTCGGCAAGATAAATTAATCTTCCCCGTGAACACCAGAAAATGTGTTCCTTTCAGCTCAGAGACATCGAGTCCTAGAAGGTACCGTTGCCCTTTGGCTCCGGCAGTTGGGCCGTTAAGTCCGGGCTGACTCTTCTTGTAGTTTAGGTAGGGCCCGGATCCATCGTTTTACTACAATACACTGTGTTTATTTATTTACACAATCAATCACAGAGAGGTATGCAGTAAAAATGTTGTCCAGAGGCCCCTTCAGAACTATATGGGTTATAAAATACATCATATACTTATCATAAAATATAAATAGCCGCCTAAAAAGACAGAGGGATTGAACTTCTGATATTTAAAGGATTCTGATATTTAAAGGATGCCATGTAGAACTTCTGATATTTAAAGGATGCAATGTAGATGACTATCTGCTTAAAGACAAGGGGTCCAATCAAGGAGGCAATGTATTTTAAATGTATAATTACATGAAGATCTTAAGAGGAGTATAACCTCTAATTAAAACACAAGACAAAAGGAAATTCAAAAGTAAAGAAATTCAAAACCAAACCAAAACCAAATTCAAGAGGTATATCTCAGCCGCTCACGGTGTGGATCTTGTTTTATAATATTTCGGAGCACGCATGTGGGATGCCCAAATCGACACTCAGCGCCCAGTTACAAGCAGCTTACGAAGTGTGTGCCATATTCAGGTGTGTCTATAACGTTTTAGTACAGCACAGCATTTTCCTGAAAAAGTACCCCCACTACCCATGGACTTAACGCGCTACAGTACATATCACTATAGAGTATTCATCGTACTAGTGGAGTCTGCTTCAGCTGCAGTAGAATCTGGCGCATACGTCCAGTATCTTTGGCAGATCTCTGTGTCTTGGGGTTGAAGTCAACTAGTTCACACACTGTCTCCCAGTCCTTATCCGTGGGTTTGGAATCACGCGCCTGCAAGAAGTCGTTTTCGGCCTCCCTGTTATGTCCATGGAGTGAGAATATTGATTAGATGACGACAGAACTTGCACATATAAAAGCGAGTGATTATTCGCAAACGTATTCACACGCAATATATATATATATTTAAATAGATAGATATAGATATAATATCCTCAAACACACAAGCATATGTAATACATAGTTACATACACACACACACATAAGCACGTTCTCTGTGCATAAGAGATTCACTACAATAGTAAAAGAAATGATGATGATCATAACACACGCTAGAACAGGTAATTGATTATTCTAAAACACTCAAAAGTTATTTTTATACATACATACACACAACCATACCAAGTGATTCCATACAAACTCATACCGGTTTGTCGCTGCAGACTTGCTCTTCTGTTCATCGTAGTTGTTGTAGAATGCCTCGAGGTCTTCTTTCGCCTTGTTGCTCATTTCCTCCTCCTTCTCAGCTGATTTGGCGTCTACTTCAGCCAAGCATTCGTCTCTGGCCGCGCGCCATTCCCTACATAGCCAGCAAAGCAGCGCGTCACATTTAGTTCACATACGAACACATGTACCCATCCAGAGGGCTGTGCGTGGTTAGAAGAGGAAGTGATTCTAGTGTATTGGTACCAGCTCTTATATAGTTGCTACTACACAGCCACATTAAAACGAACGCGAGATTCGTTCATGTTCCCAGTTCGCATTAGACAGACCACTCCATCTGGTCAAGTGAGCTTCTAACGACAACCTTAATGAAGCTGAGATAATCCATCACACTTTTAACCATGGGATTAGAATCAACGCGCGGTATACGGAATGGGGTTCTATTTACCGGAACTAAGGTAGTAGTACCGTACACGCAGGCTACAGGCATCACTCTGCATGGCTGTACTTAGTTATAAGAATACCTGGGAGTGGTGCTCACACAACCTCGCACAGTGAGAATCATGGCGTCACGTCAAACACGCCTAGACACACATACCCATACAGCTGCGATGCCACTCATGCAACGGTAATAACACACAGGCTATGCTTCGACGTAGCATGTACAGCATAGCATACAGCAAGTACATAAATAACACAAGCCACACTGGGTACATACACTAGATACAGGTCAAGTACAACACACACTAGGCACATACACCAGTTACAGGTCAAGTGCAACACACACTAGGTACATATATGGTACAGTATACCCCGCTGTATGCCTGCCTGCCTACCTAAGGGCCGTGCTATCGCTATCCATTGTATTGTCAACCTCAGCCAATGCGCCGTAGGGATCGACATTCTCGGGCGGAGGGGGTGGCATATCACCTCCCATATCATCACCGAACCCGTCCCCAAAGCCCCCGTCGTTGTCTCCAAAGTCATTGGTTTGTTCCGAACTGTCCTGTTGGAAGAAGTCGTTGTCACTGGACTGTCCCTGTGGCGCACCGAATTCATTGTCACCTCCTGGGAAGTCATCTCCTCCCGCGAAATCGTTGCTACCACCGAAATCGTCGTTATCGGCTGTTGTAGGTAACAAGGCGTACGCGTGATGTATGCAGAATAGGGTGAGTGAGTGCATATGCTGCATACATATATAGTACACACAGATAAAAGTGAGTGCGTGCATGTGTATATGTGACCGAACATAACTTATGTATGCGTATGCGTGGTCAAGAAAATTAGCATTTGCTTCAGAGAAGTTTGCTGCCACGGGAGATTGTCGTTCGAATCTAGCTTGCGCGTCGGCGAAGTCTCGGCAGGAAGCAGGAGGGTGCGCGTGTATGCAAACGATATATATAAATACATATACATAAATGAGTATATAGTAAAAAATAGTTAGTATAGTGAGTATTGAGTGTTCGATTGTGCAAGTCAGCCCACACGCACACATGAAGGAGAGCACCTTCTAGCCTATGAGGTACAGGCAGCCCTATGAAGTCAGCTACGCAACGGTATTCTCTTGCCACAACAGCCAACGAATATATTTCTCACTATTACGATTATCTGTACGATCGAGAACAAGCCAACGTACAAATACACCTACATATATTCAACTACCAGACAGACTCATCGAACATTAGGGCTGCAGTATATCAGACCACTCTTTCCGCTGACCCAGATAGGATAGACAAGCATTTCTAAAAACCAAACCAAACCAAACAAAAGAAAACTGGCACATTGCGGTTGAATACGAAACATGCAGCCGCGGCCCCAAGTGAATGCTTAGCAGCACCTCGTGGAAGGGCAATGACTGTAACCGCAAAAGAGAGCAACGACTTGTAATCTCAAAGGAGAGCAATGACTTGTAACCGCAAAAGGAGCGGTTATCGCATACCACTCGAACACAGACCACACCTTTTAATTCTTCACCTGCAAAGTCGGCGTCACCACCGCCACCCTGAGTGTAGATAAGATAGGGAGGGATTCATGAGCAACGAGGCCAGCGAATGAGACTGACGGGTGTATTATTGCGCTACGCAATACATTCAGTACCGGGAACGAAGTATGCAGTTTCTGGTAAGCACAATTGGGGATAGTTTATGGAACCTTCCATGGCAAGGCAGCAGGCATTAATATATGCTGCAATATCAAAGGATTAGCTTATATGTACGCCTGGGTGGATATAGTAGACTACAGTATACATCCCTAGTGCGTCTAACTATCTGCTTTGAAAGGCGATGTATGAGTGTAAATACCTACAGACTAGATACATGGATAAGTGGCAGTGCTGCTGCAAGGGTGACGGGCAAGGGCATGATTGTATCAATCTATCGGTACACTTCACATACTCCCACACACGTTTTTCCGTGGTTCCGACAATATGGTGTATTGGACATCCGACAATATGGTGTATTCGATATCCATGCTAGAGCATTGAAGAACTGTATGATCGAAGTCTTCTTTAAGTCTTCTTTACCAGCGTACATATGCGCACTTAGATACATAAGACACAAATACCGCTAAGGATGGGTGGTATGGGGATCGAATCTGTTTCATTCTTATTGTGCGTTGGTTGGTTGTTGCAGTATGTTGTATGTTGGTTGGTTGTAGTAGTACGTTGTTTGGTTGTAGTAGTACATTGTTTGGTTGTAGTAGTATGTTGTTTGGTTATAGTAGTATGTTGTTTGTTTGTAGTAGTATGTTGTTTAGTTGTAGTAGTATGTTGTTTGGTTGTAGCAGTATGTTGTTCGGTTGTAGTAGTACGTTGTTTGGTTGTAGTAGTATGTTGTTTGGTTGTAGTAGTATGTTGTTTGGTTGTAGTAGTATGTTGTAGTAGTATGTTGTTTGGTTGTAGTAGTACGTCGTTTGGTTGTAGTAGTACGTTG